AAACTGTTCGTTCTTATGCGCTCGCGTGCCATTCGACATGTATACCCCAAACACTCGATACCCGCCCTCTTCGTATTTGATCGTACCCCCTTGGGGGCATATCTTTCTTACCTGCACCGTATGTGTCGCACAGCCCCTGAGGAAGGGGAAGAGAGGACGGATGGAAGGGACAAGGGGGAGGGAGGAGGATGAAGCAGGAGAGGGAGTAGCAGGAGAGCGGCTAGGAGCAGAAAACACGTGGCAGAAACAGACTGGCAGATCGGGCGGGTAGACCCTAACGGGCGGGTCGGGAAGGCGTGCCTAGGCGGCCAGGTCGAGGCGGCGTGTTGCTGAAGCGTGAGCACAGCATGAATCACGAGAAGAACTCGAGCGATAGCGCGACTCCCAAGTAGATCGTGGGAAAGGCAGAAGTGGGAGCGTGGTTCTTGAGTGTCGAGGGCGCGGCGCCTGAAGAAATTGCGAGGAGGTCCCACGCGAAAGCGCGATTCCTGCATAACTTGTGAGAAAGTCCCGCGCCAGAGCACGATGTTGGAATACATCGTGAGGAAGTATTCGGCGGGAGCCGTTGTCGTTGTAGTTTGGGCCTAACAACGCAGTTTGGTGACACCAAGCTTGCCCCGACAAATAACAGGGTGTGAGCCCCAGGAAGAGCACTTCAATGGGAAGAATACAATAGTTACAGGAGGGTGAGGATCAACTATAACTATTCTTTCTATGAGTGTGAACTCAACAGCAACAACAATAACGACAACAGCAACCACAACAACAACAACAACAACAACAACTGCAGCAACAACAACAACACCACCAACAACAACAACAACGACGACAACGACGACAACGACGACGACGACGAAAAAGTCGAAAACGACGACGACGAAGGCGACGACGACGATGACGACGACGACGGAAACGACGACGACGACGACGACGCAGGAGGGGTCCACGGGTGTGAACCCAAAACCGGCCTTGGGGAAATGGTTGGGACTTCCTGGGACCCCTCACGGTTTTTGTCGTTTTGTTATATAATAAAGAATAAAATGAAATGGAAAAACAAAAAAAACGCATGTCTGGGGAGGCAGCACGGAGAGCCTGAGCGCAGACGGCTCCTGCTCACCGCCCACAATGCCTGGCCACGGCAACCCTGGCGAGGCAGGGATTTATCCATATCCACCGCCTGCGGAACCGACGTCCAGGGACTCAGGGGGCGGCAGATATGAATCCATTTTGGCCCCAGGGAGCCCGAATATGTCCATATCCACTGCCTGCCGAGGTCCCCGAAGATCGATCTCCCTTGCGGTGGTCATGGACAAATACCCGCCTCGGAACCCTGGACCCTGGCAAAGAATGCGCGGCCTCCTCTGTTCGGCTATCTCGGCTCAGCATGGCCTCAAGACAGCTTCGGAGAGCTCCAAGGCTGCTCAAGAAGGCCCCAAGAACATCCCACAACGGTTCAAGAGGGCCCCGAGAGGCCCGCAAGACGGCTCCAGACAGCCCCTGAGAGTCTAGGCAGAACAGCCCAAGAGGGCGCCAAGACAGCCTGAGAGAGCCCCCAATATGCCCCGGAACGTTCCGATCCTCCTCCAAGTCCTCCACCCCCTTCTCCTCCTTATCCGTCTCCCTATCATTGCTCCGTGTAGGTGCTGATCTGTACTGGCTGGCTGTGTACTCCTCCTCCTACTCCTGAATATCGTAATCATCAGTTTTATCATCAACCTCATCAGCATCGTCATCATCATCATCATCATCATCATCATCATCATCATCATCATCATCATCATCATCATCAGCGTCATCATCATCATCATCATCATCAGCATCATCATCATCATCAGCATCATCATCATCGTCAGCATCAGCATCATCATCATCATCAGCATCATCATCACTATCAGCATCATCATCATCAGCATCAGCATCAGCATCAGTATCATCATCATCAGCATCAGCATCATCATCATCATCATCATCATCGTCATCATCATCATCAATATCATCGTCAGCGGTGTCATCTTTATCCGCATCATCATCAGCAGCAGCGAAATCGACATCGTCATCAGCAGCATTATCAGCATCATCGTCGTCATTGGCATCGTCATCACC